AAACTGCAGGCAGGTTGAGGTGACAGGCTGGCTGGAAACGTGGCGGTGCAGCGACCACGGATCTGGGGAAAATAACCTTATCAGTAAAAATGGAAAAGATCATAGAAGCACGAGCACAAGGACACTACCGTAAGTGTCCTTGTGCTCCTTCAATGTTTCAATAAAGGTTTTAATTCATGCAATGGCACAGGAAAGAACTAAGTTGGCAAAATACAGTTATGAATAAAGTTTTGTAGAACCGAAGCTGACAGGCCACCAGAGAGTTCTCCCCTTAAACTGCACATTTACTCGATAATAATACGACTTAATAAGCATTGTGATTAAGAGTCCTGGTGGAAAGCTATTTCAGAATGCAGCACATTAATGTCTCGTCTGATGAATGCACAGTCTGCACTTTTACACAGGCGTTTGGAAGCAGCAGTCCTCTCCCGTGTCAAGATGGAGGCGTACAAACACTCACTATGCCATTTTTCTACACACTCCATCCAAAACCATTTACATAATAGTAAAGGTCAGCCTCACGTGAATATACCTCAGAATTATAAGGAACATTTATCAGGTCTTCTAGTATGGAAAAAAGTATGGAAAAAACATTGAATTGCCTTATGTGCAATCTCAAGGTGTTTACTTCTGAACACATTTGCAGAGGGTTTTCATAACGTACATGAACGCATCATTAATCAGAGTCGGGTTTAGTACTAGAGATAATAACAAAACTGAGTGATGGAGCATACATTGCGTTAATGTTTAACTAGAGTTAGTGCTGCAATGGAAATGTTCAGGAGTTACAGAATATATCTATTTTATATCATTGTTTGTAACCTCTCAGAATTGTTACTGTTTCTTTTGCTGGTGTTCACAATATGAGAAGAATAAATAGAATATAAGAAGAAGAAAATGAACTTTCCTTCATCTTCATCATCCTCATTTTCTACCCCCTTGTTAAGCAATTTCTGGGAGACAGAGCTGCACCAAATGCTCAGAGCACCAGCCCCTCACTGATCCTCCTGCTGGTGAAGGGTCCACAAGAAGATGGCTGCTCCGTCAGCGATGACACAGCCTTGGTCTTTCAGCGGGGGCTTCAGGCAATGTGGGGTTAAGTATCTTGCCCAGGGACACAACGACAGCAGACATCAGTGGGAACAGTTGGAGTAGCTCTTGTATGGGGATCAAACCCACGGCCTTCAGGCTCAAAGGTCAATGCTCTACCAACTGAGCCACTGTCGCCCCCAACTGAGCCACTGTCGCCCCCCCATTGGAAAATTAACTTTCCAATCGAGCTAATCATGTAGGGCTTTTCAATAGTCATTGACTCTTTGGCTGAGTCATTTAGAGACATGCAGAACCTGACCTCAGCATGTCAGTGTGACGGCTTTAACCAGTCCTCTGGAACCAGTTCTATGCATTAATACGCCCCACGTGTCTGATTATGTACAATATTAAAGAGTGTCCTGCAGTGCATGACGTTTCTGCAGGTCATTCCCTGTTATAAAAAACAGCAGGAATTGTCTTATTCACATAATGATGTGATGATGTGATCTGGCAACGTTCCTTAAAATCTAAAATCTAAAAATCTTTGAATAAGAAAAAAAATAGGGCCTCATACCCTTCCCCATATGTCAGGGGTCACCAGCCTTTTTAAATCCGAGGGCAACCTGAGGATGACCAAATGGCTCGAGGGCTACAGTATAATGTTTGATTGAAATGAATTGTGCAGATGGGTCAATAAAGGGGAATCCTACAAAACCCACATGTTTAAAAAAAAAATCATACATAGGATTATTATTTATGTTATGTATTAATTTGAGTCTAAACATTGAAGGGGGATGTTATTTATACTCTTATTTTGTGGTCACTATTGTTAATTCTAGTTCACAGAAAACCCACATGAGCACGATTTAAATTTGTGTGTGGAGTGGTAGTGACAGTTGGGAACTTCCATTTCCACACAAAGCGGTCACCCTTCCCCTTTTTTCCTCAAATGTACAAGCAGAAACAAACTGATTGACATTACAGTTAATCAACCAATCAGAACCAGTAGGTGTGGCTAATATTCTGGAAGCTTTGATGTACTTTCATTTCAGGTTATGATAATCTTCTCGTCATTATTTACTTGTTTTTGTTGTTATTGTGACGGCTATGTGACCATGTCAGCGACACAAATCGACATTTTGGCCACTCTTCCACAAGAGTGTGTAGCTTAAGCCAAGAGTCGTCCTTTGAAACAGGCTCTCAGACCGCTTTTGGCTCATGGAAAGTTGCCATAGCATTTCACAGTGTATTTCCGCAGCCACAGGGGACGACACAGAACTCAGAGGAGAAATGAAGCTGATGGCTCGAGGACTCCCACACCACACCCGAACACCACTGCCAGTGCAGGGGGCTCCTCCAGACGAAACACTGGGAATACTAAAAAAAAACAATAAAACCAAAATGTAAAAAAGGAGGACTATAGCGCCATAAATAGAAGAATAAATAACTAAATGAAGAAAAATAAATAACTAGACTAGGTAAAGTATGGTCAATTGAATACAGTGGTCCCCGCTATAACACTGTTAATCTTTTGCAACATTGCTTTGCCAATATTTTTGAGTGCAATTGTTTAAGGTTTTTAAGCAACGACTTGTCATGTGCATGTAGAAGAAAAATCTTGTGGCTTGTGTGCACTGCTGTGGTTCAGTTAGCCCTCAATTCATGTTCCTGCCGCTCAGCACGGCGTCCTCTGCAGTTGATTTTTATAGCGTATGCACGACTTTTGACAGCTGCAGCAGCGTTCAGACCTTCAACAAACAGGTTTGATATCTCCATAATCGTGCAAGTGCAGAAGGTTAGAAAAGTGCATAAAGTGCATGTTGAGGGATTTTTTAGCCTAAAACTTGGCGGGTTTTGCTTAACGCAGGATAATTTTAGAACATAACCCCTGCAATAAATGAGGGACCTCTGTGATGAATGTGATTTTTGGCATTTGGGTTAAAGAGGATGGTTTTGAAAAGGGTCAGCCTCTTTCACAAATGTGGCATCTACCAAGGGAGATGCTTTGTTCCCTCTGCTGTTCCTCATAGATCTACCTCCGTAAGCCGAATAATCAACAGGACTCAAGAACTCAATGTCTCACAGTGGCAAATGAGGAAGTACTGGAGGAGGACCCATCAAGGGAGGACAAGGGCTGGCCAACAAGACAGCAATGACCACTCATCGTGGCTGCGCAGGAGCTGGTCCTGAGCACCAGAGCAACAAGACCCAAGGTATCGGTTGTGCAAAGAGGCAATCCAGAGATAATTCATCACATAACTGCAGAGATGCTGACAGGGAAGGCCTACATGGAACACCATTCTCAAGTGGCCGGCATAGTGTACAGAAACATCTGTGCAGAGTATGGGGTGGAAACCCCAAGGTCTAAATGGGAAACTCCTCCAAAGGTGATGGAGAACGGCCGTGCAACGATCCTGAGGGACTTCTAGATACAGATGCAAAAGATGGTATTGGAAAACTAACCTGACAGTGCGGTGGTAGACAAAGCGCAGGATAGACAGCCGGTGGCGGTGGGCGTAGCAATTCCAAGCGATGGTGACATCAGAAAGAAAGAGCACGGGAAGCTTGAGAAATACCAAGGGCTCAGAAAGGAGCTGGGGAGGGTCTGGACACAGATAAAGGTGACACTGGTGTCTGTGTAATTCAACTAAACTTAAAATGTGAAACCTACGGACTTCCGGTTTCATGGTGAACTGAGTCGGGCCAATTCGTGGTAGATGCTCCCTAATTTAAAAAAAAAATCCCACCTAAACTCGACAAGACGCGACTCGGTTTGGGCAAAGATAACTGATAGGTGGGAAAGGAATGTGTAGAGGCCAAGAAGTTACAGAATGCCGAATAGAAAGCAAGAAAAGAGCGCACCATCGGGAGATGCTAACCCTGTAGCAGATCAAGCTAACTCGATGTATGTCAAACAGAAATGGGAAAAAGAATTACAAAATGAATTGTCAGAGGAGGATTGGCACTCCATATGTCTTTTACAGCATACTTCAACCAGTTCGAGACAAAGCAGAGTATTTGGATGGAAAAACCTGATTTTTTCACACTCCACGTATTAAAAGTTTACAATTGAAAACTCCTCAGCAGTGCTGGAGACTTTGTGGCAGCTGGAGTGCCGATCACTCTCATGTATTTTAAACCTTTTTGTCAAAATATTGTGATGGAAATGGAAAAGGTATTTGGATATGAAATATCTATGGAGCCACGCACCATGTACCTGGGCCTTCTGTCAGAGAGTCATGTTCAAAATAAGGATTTGTATCTGTTTAAAATATTGCTGAAGAAAGTAATAACAAGAAACTGGCTGAAGAGTGACCCTCTGACATTGAAGCAATGGAGAGACACAGTGGAAGAGAACAATTACCTTTCATCTGAGACTGAAAGCTAACAAATTTCAGAAATGTTGGTCCAAGTGGACTCATTACAAAGCTCATTTAAAGTTGTACATTTTATTTTATAGTACCCCACAGATTGTATGTTTGACTTTTATCTTTATAAACGTTTGATAAATCATAAATAAAGAGTTAAAAAAATAAAATAAGTGAAACCTACATATGTTAGTGACTCATTTATACAAAGTGACATATGCCAAATGTTGTTGTTTATAATATTGATAAATATGGCTCACAGTCCATAAAAAAATCCATGTTTTAATTAGGGATTTTAAAAGCTCTGAGCCAATTATTATTATGATAAATAATGGCCATACAGTTGTCACGTAGTTGAATAACAGAAGGAAATAGACTTTTGAACGAGTCATTTTGGTAAACGTGTTTTACATATTCTTGAATAAACACATTGATAGCTCAGTAATCCATCAGGTGCAATTAATCTATTGTTAAAAGCTAAAAAAGATGGAAAATCCCAAGTCTCCTTTGTTATAGACAAATAGTATTGACACACACAGCGTCTCCCCTCTCTCTCCCTCTCTCCTCGCTGCTGCTCTCAGAACAGTCACTTCTCTCTGAATGCTGCCGCTGCTCCACACTCTCTCTGCGCTCTCTGCTGCTAACGGGAATCTACCCCCCATCCTCGGCTCCCCACAGGCACAGGTGGGTACGCTTTTTAAACATCACACTCAAGACACATGTGCAAAGGAGCACTTTAACTTTGTACTCATCTAATATCTTTACATCTGTTCAGAAGTACTTATAGTTTGATGTATAGTTCTTCTTCTTGAGTTTTACTTTTATTATTCTTAGTATTTAGTGTACAGGTTACTGCTGTGTTGCTGTTATTATCGTTGTGCAGTTAAAGTTATAAATGCATGTGGTGTCATAAATTGCACTTCATGTAATCACCTCGTTTTTAGAATCAATGCTCTGTGTTCTTTGTGTTCACTATACTTGTGCAATGCCCACAAGGATATTTATTCTTGTAGTGGGAGCTGGATTTAAATGATGGTCAATGAGGAAGATCGGAAGTAGAAAACGGTGAACATACTTTTGTGTAGTGTACATATACGACGTGTTGGTTGACATAGACACATTGAGATAAAAAAAAAAAAAACATACATTGGCAGTTATTTTAGCAGTTATATATATATTTACAGTTTTTTTTAACATATTCAATATGGTTAGACAGCCAGAGATTTAGAAGAAGATAGTGACATTCAGCACAAAAACATCTGTGTGAAGAATGTGAGGTTTATCAGATATTGATTGTCATATAAACTTAACGTTCTACATAGCAATGTGACCAATGTATGTATTCTTATCAGCTTTTGATCTTCAGAGCTGATGACGCAGCCCACAGTCCTGCTTCTGTATGTTTATGTGAGCAGCAGAGAACCAATTTTAGGAAGTGCTCTGGAAATACACAGCACTTGTATGTACTGTATGTTGGGACTATAGTCAGAGACTTTGTAAATGAGCTCTTAGAAAACACAGGACGAACAGACAGTCCCCTAAATATATTTTTATTAAAGTTCATCAACCCACATCCTTATAGATGTAGGATCTACAGGTGTCTCGTTCTACTATAGAGGCTGCAAAACTAAATATCCACACCATACTTTACTTGTACCTATTGAGTAAGTGCTTGCTATTGTGTAATCCCAACCCCTGAGTGAATTCCCACAAAAAAGGAAAATAAGATGAACCCAATTTTGATTTACATCCTGTTCAACAAAGAGGGATAATTTAACACATGACAACTCCCAATATGACAGAACACAAAATGTATACAGATGTATACACTGTTGTTAAAGGGAGCACATGCAAAAAATAGCCACTACACTGACACATCCTTCAAGTATATTTGGTGTTTTCATTCCTTTTCTATATTCACAAACATGCTGTATAATTTGGCAACGTTGTGCAAGCATTTTGTCTCTATTAAAGTCGAAATCACACACTCTTTTCTTCATTAACAATGAGACTATCAACGTTGCCATTTCATGTTTTAGAATGTGAAATGATATCTTCAGTATGTGTGGAAACAAGTATGGGTTAAAAACTGCTATCGGGGTGTAACTCTCTGTGCTTCCACTAGAGGGAGGAGAACTATTTGTTTTGTGTTTTTTTCCAAATTGTAAAACTACTATCTGGAACCACATCCATGTGATTGCAAATAATGTACTTTCAAATGATAAATTGCCAAAAACCTAATTTATGGCCAGTAGTGCTGATGTCATAGTGGTGCTGATGACAGACGGGGCAGAGTTACATGTTAGTGCCAGAAGTTCCAAATATCAGCATGGATGGATCAAACAAACAACTTCAGGGGTGTGACTTATGAATGAACAATGTTGTATGGTTAAAAGCTACAAAAATCCGACTTTGCAAAACAAGCGCAGTCAAGTGCTTCCATGTGGGCACTTTGTTTTGATGATGTTTATAACTATGTACTGTATCATAAGTCAGTGAAGTACTTTCTTATATTACATTTTTATGTCCATACCACATTTTACAGACATTACAGAGCTACTTTTTTCAATTTCTTTGAACCCAGCGACTTATAGAGAAGGGTTTTTGAAGGGCTATAGGACTCACATTGACAGTCAGAACAGACTGGTAAATGAGTCATGGGAGCTAACTTTTCAATCAATCAAACTGTACAATTTATTCTTGTACAACCCTAAAGCACAACACAACAGCAGTCATCTCAGAGGACGTAACAAAACCATTGAAATCACCATGGCAACACAAAAATATCTAGATGGAATACAGATAATAAAGTTGGAATCTGTTTTACTCCTTGGGGATTTTAACCTTCATGTTGACGACTGCTCATCTTGCCCCGCAATGGAACTGCTTACATTGACTGAAACTTTTAATTTTGAGCAGCATGTTTCTGAGCCCACTCACCAAAAAAGAACATACTCTAGACCTAGTTTTTACGCTTGGCATAGACATTTTAAACTTGTCTGTGATTGATGTCCATATGAGTGATCATAGTCTTGTTATGTTTGATCTGTACTTTAGTCTTGAGCCCAAGCCTTCAGCAGTCAGGTCTCAGAGGCGTGTCATCTCTGCTAATACCGCAGATAGTTTTTCAGAAATGTTTGACCCTCTTTTAGTCATGGACTGTTTCGATGTGGACAATCTCATTCACTGTTTTAATAACCACTGTGAAACAATTTTGGATCAGTTGGCTCCTGTTAAATCAAACTTGTCACAGAAAAAAGCGTGTCCTTGGACAAATGAAGATATCTTAAGACTCAGGAGGCTGTGTCGAAAGACTGAACGCCTGTGGAAATCCACTAAACTTGAGGTGCACAGGCTCTATCTCAGGGATCTTGTGTCATCATACAACGTGATGATTGAAAATTCCAGATCTGAATATATCCGTCAACTGGTAACATTGAATAAGAAAAATCCCAAAGTGTTGTTTGACTCGATTAACTATTTTGTATGTCCTGCTGCTCCAGTTACCCCCGTCTTTTGTGAAGCGGACAGCAATGCCTTTTTGAGATTTTTCACAAACAAAATTAAGATGATCAAGGATAAAATCTCGCCCCTTCTGTGTGGCACCCCTGCTGTGTTTGAGCCTGTGTCCAGCATGTGGTCTTCATTTAAAACGGTGACATTTGCTGATATTTCAGCACTGGTGTCCAAGATGAAGCCCTCCTCTTGTTCATCTGACATCCTTCCTTGCAGGCTCTTTCAAAAAGTGTTTGAGGTAATTGGCCCTTGTGTTACCAAAATGGTTAATGTCTCTTTGTCAACTGGCGTGTTTCCCAGTGCCTTTAAACATGTCATAGTGGAGCCACTACTAAAAAGAGCAAGGTTAGACCCGACTGATCTTAATAGTTTTAGGCCTATTTCGAAACTCCCGTTCCTGTCCAAGATCCTTGAGAAGGTGGTCTGTGAACAGCTTACGTTCTTCCTGGATCAAAATAACATCCATGAGCCGTTTCAGTCTGGTTTCCGTAAACAACACTCTACGGAAACGGCCTTGCTGAAAGTGTCCAGCGACATTATGATGTCTGCTGATTCTGGGAAGCGCACTGTTCTAGTTCTCTTGGATCTGTCCTCAGCATTCGACACCGTTGACCATCAGGTTCTGCTGAAAAGACTGAGGGATCAAGTAGGACTGTTGGGGGCAGTTCTACAGTGGTTCTCCTCATACTTATCGGGGCGTAGCTTCTGTGTTACAGCTAACCAAATTAGGTCTGAGTCTGTGGGTTTGTTGTGCGGAGTACCTCAAGGGTCCATTTTGGGTCCTGTCTTATTTTTGTTGTATTTGATTCCTTTGGGAAAGATCATCCAAAGGTTCAGTGATGTTTCTTTCCACCTATTTGCTGACGATATCCAGCTTTACTGTTCCTTTAAGCCGTCTGAAATCCAGAAGCTAGACTCTCTGCTCCATTGTCTAATGGAAATAAAACAATGGCTCAGCAATAACTCTCTGCAGCTAAATGCAGACAAAACCGAAACACTGGTTATCGCACCTGATGATGCAATTCCGGGGATTAAACAGTACCTGGGTGACTTAGGCCAGTCAGCGAAGCCAAGTCTTCGAAACTTGGGTGTTATCTTTGACAAAGACATGTCATTAGTCCAGCACTGTAAGCAGCTAACAAGGAACTGCTTCTTTCAACTAAGGAACATTTCTAAAATTAGGAATATGGTCGCACGTAATGACTTGGAGCTTATCATTCATGCATTTGTGTCTTCACGCTTAGACTATTGTAATAGTTTGTTTTCATGTCTAAATAAGAAGGAGCTCTCTCGACTGCAACTAGTGCAAAACTCTGCAGCGAGAATTCTGACCCGCACTAACAGGAGGACCCACATATCTCCTATTTTAAAACAACTTCATTGGTTGCCAGTGTCCTATAGGATCACGTTTAAAATTTTGGTTCTAGCTTTCAGAGCCTTGCGTGGTCAAGCTCCTTCTTACCTCAGTTTTCTGATCCAGCCTCACACCCCTGCTCGGGCTCTGAGGTCTATGGATCAAAGTCTGCTAAAGGTTCCACGCACTTGTTTTTGTACAAGAGGTGACCGATCCTTCCAGGCTCTTGCTCCCAGGCTTTGGAACGATCTTCCGCCCTCTTTGCGCTCTACTGACTCGGTTGATACTTTTAAAAGCAATCTTAAGACTCATTTATTTGTTCAAGCCTTTAATTAGCTATTTTTGGGCTGATACGATTTCTGTGTTGCTTTGACCCTTTTTATATTGTATTTAATTTCTGTGATGTTTTAACTGTGTTGTGAAGCACTTTGTGGCCTTTGCCTGTGAAAGGTGCTATACAAATAAAGATTACTTACTTACTTACTTACTTTTTTTTGGGTCTTTGAGGTTTTTTGGAACAGTTGAAAAACATTTCCTCATCCAACCATCTCTAAGTGGTGTGAAGAATGGCTGTACAATAAGAGAAATGGTCAGTATAAATGTATGAGGACAATTTTATCTCAAATAGATTAAAACACATCTTTATCTAATGGTATGGCATTTATGGCCGATTGGCATTGAACCAAGTAAAATATCACACTGTAATTTTAAAGCTGGGGTAAAAAAAGCGATGGAATTAAGTCTGTCCAGCAGTTTAGTCCTATCACTAGATTGTATATACTTATATACTATATATTTATTTTGCCTCTGTCACATCTTTAGATTCAGCTTTGTCAAACCAAAATGTGGGAAAGAAAGGACCCACACGCAGAAAATCAGCTCTCTCACAGGGCTCTTTTGTACAATTACTAATTAATTAGTTTAGGCTTACTTTGACTTTAAATCCCTTATATACAACCTGGACTGCATACACATACTACTAAAGAAAACAAATACATTATTATTATTATTATTATTTTTTAAACATGCCGTTTCAAAGCAATCCAATTTCAAATTTAGAGCAAGAGGATAATATTATGTTTGTGTGCCCTGTCCTCTGTCCTCTGTCCAGAGCAGAGAATAGAAAAGGGAGCATCCATCCATCTCCCTGTGCACTGTTCACATCAAAAACCCACCAAGGGCCGCACACACATTATGCACAAAGGACCTTTAAAGGGCGCCACGCTCCAGTTATCTGTGTTCTTACTTAACGTGAAAGGCAGGCTCCTAATAATGATAATAACAATAACAATAATAATGTTAATTTGATAATAATACAATATTTGGTTTTCCAGGCACCTTTCAAACCCTCAAGGTCATCTTATGGATATAATAAAATACAATAGAATGCATTAGCACAACAATATATAAAGTGGCTAACTCTTAAGGAGGACCCTTCATCATGCAGGAATTTGTTGACTTTTACAAAACGAGTAAATGATTTATTTATTTATGGACATTTTATTGGAGGATAAACCCCATGAGATGTATCATCTTGTTTTCGTGGGGGGTCCTCATGATCATATCCAAAGAACATAGGATAGCAGAGTAGAGTCCCGCCTGTGTCTTTTTATGCTGATTCTGTGTTTGTATTGATCAAACGATTCTGCCATTGATTTTTAGGACAAAACACTGAGATGCATTGGACAGTGAAAATCCTGATTTTTTTTTTTATGAATTGATACCTGTTTTAAAAGGTGGTTTGTGAATTAAATGAAATAGAAATGTTCAGGAAGCTTTGGTGTTCTAGAATTGACGACCTCAGAAGAAGGAGATTCACGGTCCATCAAAAAGTTTGGCATAGTTACTTACACTTTTATCAACACTTAAATGATTCACAATTCATTCACTTTTTTCGTTTGTGATGCAAATATAATTAATCATGTACAAGTGGTGAGAGACAAGGGTTAGCGCAGTCATCTCGTGTATACTTTGAGAATCTGTGTGGACTTTTCATTTGTAATTTAGAAATTCTAAATACGTATTGATTTCTATGAATGAAACTGAAACAGAATTAGAAAATGTTGATATGTTTATGTGACATTTCCAACAGAGCTTCAGTTTCCCCTACCGCTAACCACTAAATATACGTACAATGTCCCATATTATAGTCAATATTTAACTATTAGTAGTCCCCCTTTTTGATCCCCTTATGGTCCTCATAAGGGGATCATTGGGCAGGGATTTTCTAAAGGAACTGGACTATTATGGAAATACTATATCACACTTTTTATTCAAATGTTAGATTGCTGATGAAGATTTATAGTTTCACCATCACCGATGATAAAAGAGAAGAGTTGTGTTTAATAAAGTGATGCCACAGCTGAGACTACATTTTTGTGTAGTCTCAGTCTGCCTTTAGCGCTTAAAATCGAGGATACAAAGTCAATAAATATATGAATAAGCCAGTGTTTTAAACGGTAACAAATTGTATTAGTATTGTATCCTTACTAACATTTGGAAGTTGATTCTTGTTCCTTACCATGCATGGTTTTATGTTTTTTTTGTTATGTCTATGGTTTATAATCTTTCTCAAAATGACACAGATGAAAAACCAGAGTCTGCTTCAACTAAAAACACCCATAAATACAGTATATGTTTTTCTTGTATAAATGATAATAATAATAGAAGGGGAGGAATAAGTAATGAACCATGGCATTAATAGCTTGTTGCAACAACATAACTAGACACTTCCTGTAGTTGCAGATCAGTCTGGCACATTGATCAGGATCAATTTTTGACAATTCCTCTTTACAAATCTGCAGTTCGATTCCTGGCATAAAACACTGTCTTTAGGTCATATGTCTGGAGTTCAACTCAGGACAATAATAGACACCAGAATGTGTCTTTGGTTCTTCGGAATCCATTCTGTTGATTTACTCGTCCTTTGGATCAATGTAGCATCCATCCTCCTTTTAGCTTCAGCTGTTGGACAGATCCTCTCATATTTTCTTTGAAAACATGATCCCAATCCCCCCCATCCACCCCCCCCCCCCCCATCCAGGCATGAATTGGCTAATGTATCTTCAATCATGCCAATTGGAACTCAACGGTTGTGTCTGCATATGATTGTATGTGTTCAGAATCCCACTCACTTCTAAACGATCCCACTCACTTCTAAAACTTGTTTTCTCTCTATTAAACGCAGAACATGGAGTCTTGCCAACCTAATTATGTCGATAACCAATTTACAACCAACTAACCAAAGTATATCAAGCCAAAATGATAAATGAGCTTCAATCTTGATTCTGAATGCAACCGCCCCACACTAATGGTGGAATGAACAGTCTGATGAGGCTATGTGACACATTTATTACATTTACACAGAGGAAGCTGAATATTGTTTTCTCTTCGTGACCTCAGGCAAACTGTGAATTTCATTTCAGAGACTGGGAATATCCACTTTTTGCACTGTCCGTTCTTGGTCCAATAGGTTGTGCTCATGTTGTGTTTTTCCATTGGAGGACAGATGCCACAACTCTGTGGGAAAGCATTTTGTCAGAAATGTTGAAAAATTACCACAGATCCTTACAGAATAGTGAGATTTGCAAACTCTCTATATTATTCTGATGTCGGCCTGGCCAATGACAGGCATATATTTTGAATATTGTTGCCACTTCAAGACACCCTTAGTAGAAAATAATTAGACCATAGTTTTGGTATGTCCTGACAAAGACCTTGTGGATCTTTTTTGACAGTGCTTTAACCCTAACCCACAGGGAAGTTTGTTAGATGTTGCTAAATTCCACCCAGCTTGTGGAAGGCTACCCTAAACAAAATAACATACAGTTCAGAGGCAATTCTACCAAATATTAATTTTGTGTAGGCTGTACAAACCTAAATCAAAAGCTGAAATAAATCCTCATTATGAAAATAAAGAATTCATCCACTGGAGGTTGAAATTATTCAACTTTTTACTTGGCCTAAGTAACAAGAATTGTTAAAACTCTGGATGTAAGCTCTGTAAGCTTATAAGATCTTTATTTAAATGTTTATGTTTGGCAGAGACAAATACAGCATGTCTTTTAAAGTATGTATTGTAAAGTCCCACCAGAGCTAACCTTATCCGTCTGTTGACAGAGTGACCTATGGAGACGTTGGGCCATGGAGACTCTGGCGCCCCTGAACGAGACTCGCCTGGACGATCAACTTGACACCCAAACATCGAACTGCTGCGGCAACGCCACACCCACCAACCCCGTGCCCCTTTTACAGCTGGACGACAGCACCAAGCTGGTGGGGGTCCAAGCCGTTCTAATCCTTGCTTACAGCACCATCATTGTCTGCGGGGTCATCGGGAACTCCCTTGTCATCTACGTGGTCTACAGGTTCAGAAATCTCCGCACCGTCACCAACTTTTTCATTGTGAACTTGGCCGTGGCAGACTTACTGGTGAATACGCTGTGCCTGCCGTTCACCCTGGTCTACACTCTGTATGGGGAGTGGATGTTCGGACAGGTGCTGTGCTTCATGTTGCCCTGTGCTCAGGGCATGGCAGTGCACGTGTCCACCATCACCATGAACATTATTGCCTTGGATCGCCACCGGAGCATCGTGAGACACACAGAGACCCGTATGTCCAAAGATATGTGCGCTCTGGTCATCGGTGTCACATGGGCGGCCAGTGCCATGTTGGCGAGCCCGCTGGCCATCTTCAGAGAGTACGTCAGCTTCGATATTTCCCCCGACGAGTCTATTCAGGTATGTGTTCTCTGACCCTTGGATGGCACCACAAGAGCATGACCACTAATTAAAATCTTGTGATGATAAAATTACATTTCATCACATAATGGATTGTGTGTGGAGACAGATAAGTGAGAATTGGTCCCTTGACCATTTCTCCAGTACTCATTATGAGAATGTTTTCTCCAGTTTTTCAATTCCATCTTGTCTGATGATGTGTAACTGAGACACACACATGTTGTACTTCCCATGGTGAGGTTCAGGACCCCTGGGAGGACTCAAGGTCACTTCAGGAGGACATCCAAACAAGCATTTCAGTTGTATTAGTTTTTAATTGTATCTTCTGAAATTTAAGTTTAGAATCAAAAGAAATACAGTTGATATACTTTCATGTACAGAATACAAAATTTAAGTTTGTATTGGGGCACTTTAGGAACAGCTGCTTTATTATTATTACATGTAGTCAAGGCCACAGTGTTTGAGCCATAAAATCTTAAAAGATTTTTTGTTAAAAGAATTGTGTGTATTCCTTCCACAAAGCATAAAAAAGGAGATATATTTACAATGATTGGAAAGGCATGAAAACATGGAAATGTATTACACTGAGATAAACGTACCCTTCTTTTGAGACTGCTGTATTTGTGACAATAATATATTTGTAAACACATTTCCCCCCACTATTAAAAGAAAATATATAATAATGAAGCCTACAGTAAAGAACTGTTTTAAAGGACACTATAACATCTGGGGACTGCTGTGCTGGGATCCAAAGAGTAGAAAGTGATCGATTATGTCACTGTGAGAAAAAACTGTGGTTGAATAGCCTCGACTCCCACAATTAAATGCAATTGCAGCTTCTCATGAGTTACAATCGATCATGCTCTACTGAGGACGCCATTTCTACTCTGCGCAACCTTGGACTATCACATCTGGAGAGCAAGAAACCAACACCAGATCCTAGAGGACTATACGAAAATTCTTAAAACCAGTGAGCTATGTTCCACAGACCTCGGAGCGTTGCGGGTTGGAGTGGGGATGCTTGCCTTTTTAATGGCATCTGGCAAATGACCGTGTGGGAAACAGGGGAGCACGGAGACCAAATAGGACGGCTGCGGCTGTAAAGTGTAGAATTGTCGTTGTGTCTTTAGGCAAGACACTTCACCCACATTGCCTAGAACGAGTCCGGTGTGTGTGTGAATGGGTGCTGGTGGTGGGAGGAGCCGAGGGTATATACTGGTTACTTTGCTTCTGTCAGTGTGCCCCAGGGCAACTGTGGTTACGTTTATCACCGCTGTGTATATAATGAATGACTAATGACATGTGAAGCGACTTTTAGTATCCAAAAAAGCTCTATATAAAATTGATTCATTACAATTGACCCAGCCCAAGTTTACAAATTGAATTTCATTCATTCCCATTTTCCAGACAGGGACGTTGGAAATTCTGAGTTTCCGAGATTTCATGAACGGAGAATTATCACAGACAATGACGAGTGATAATGGAGGAACAAAAAGGAGCTTTGTTGACCTTCATAAAAGATTTTCAGACTGTTGAAGGTCTGGAAAACATCATAATCTTCCCCTCACAATCAACAATGCTGAGGTGGAAGGTCTGTTAGCTCAGTAGAAAGCCTGTAAAGTGACTATGTCCTGTCCTGGTTCAGTCTTAGCCAAACTCTCAGAACTTCAGGGCAGAAAACAGGAGAGGTCGGCTGCAGCGGCCTTCAAACACTACTGTCTGAACAGACTATGTGGGATTGTAGAGGATGGGGTACACCATTTCCATCACAAATTTGAACTACTGCAGTCAAGGAGAATAAATGACAGCCTTAAAAAGACAAAATTCTGCTTAACCACTGGCTCTTACCGGTTTTGTATCTTCTCAAAATAAATGTTCTTCCTATTACCAATTTTTGTTGGAAGTAATGGTAATGATATTGGCCTGTGTCTCCCCAGGTTTGCACTGAGAAGTGGCCCGGCAGCAACATGAATGGAGGCATCTACAGCATCTGCATGTTGCTCATTCAGTATGGCCTGCCTCTGGCCATAAACTGCTTCGCCTACATTCACATCTGGAGAAAACTGCAGAAGCGTCTGACCGCCGGCAGTCGCAGTGGCCGGCACCAGCGCAAGCAGAAGACCACCAAGATGCTGGTGACCATGGTGGTGGTGTTTGCAGTGAGCTGGCTGCCTTTCCATGCCTTCCAGTTAGCTGTGGACATAGACAGTAGTGTTCTGTACATGAAGGATTTCAAACTCCTCTTTACCCTGTTTCATATCATGGCCATGTGCTCCACTTTTGTTAACCCCATACTGTACGGTTGGATGAACAAGAACTACCGCACGGCCTTTCTGTCTGTGTGCCGCTGCAACCATCCCTTCAGCCTGAAGGCCAGCCACCTGAAACGCAGGACCTTACCCAAGGAGAAGGACATGCCCCGCATCCCCTGGAGGTCGACCAACTTGTGACTGACTGTTATGTGAAGTTGATAGTGGATCATTTGCAGCTTAATTAACTCTTCCCAACAAACCTTTCTACAGCATCAAATCATGAATCAGGAAAAACAATTCATCTAATGAAGAAAAAAAGACAGCTTAAAAAGAATATAGTTATCTTATTAGAAGATGGTAATAATAGCCTAACAGGACAACTTTCTTCAAAAAACCAAACTATAGCATTTAAGGCAAGGCATTACTTACACAAATAAAATGAAACCTTTGATGCTATACATTACTCTATCCCTACAGACATAATCTTTATCATTTAGACAGTATTATTATTGACTGTCCAAAGTCACAATTATATGTATTGTTGATCCACACATGTTGTATTGAATTTACTGAAAAGGGATCTTATTTCTGTTCAAATACTTTCATAATGAATTACTAAATCTATTGTAAGTGTGTTTTGTTTAATGGTGATGATTTAATTATGAACAATGCAAATTCAAGAAATGCAAGATTTCAGAGCTGGGATTTGACTGGACAAGCATGACAAGTTAATATTCATTTGTTCTGTACTGTAACTCAGAGCGCTTATGCTCTATCCCACAAACTGCAATGTTACAGTATTTATGGCCTTTCTTTCAGAGCGAAGCATACATGTACTTTGTAGCATTCTGTGATGTTTTTCAGTCATTTATCCAATCTTCTGTCCAAGTCATGCACCCAACCGGAGATAACTAAGGCAGTGAGAGGTCAACGCATTTGTTCTATAATTTATAATTTAATCACACTCAAATTATGGTTGATTTCAGGAAGAATCTGGAATCTACTTTTGTTCAGATATTTCCTCCAAGTAGGGCGGTATTATTCCTGACCAACATTATGACATTATAACATTTTTAATATTTTGTATATTTTAAAAAGAACTCACAAAAAAAATGATACAAATAAAGCGATTGCACACCTTCCTGGTCAAACCATTAATACAACTTTTTCTCAATGTGAAAAAGGTAATTCACTGTATAAACAACATTACTATTGTCAACCCAAATAACACAATTTGAGAGTTTTCGTGTGTGTGTAAATTCTGATGATGGTGGCACAGTGGTTAGCACTGTTATTTCTCATCAGGAAGGACCTGGGTTTGGCGCCATCTCAGACAGGGCCCTTTTGGCTTTCTAGAGCAGTGTCTCCCAAAGTGGGGTCCGCGGCCCCCTGGTGGGCCGCGAGGGTACTGCAGGGGGGCCGCGGGAGGTCATAAAAAAAATAATATAATATTTAATGTTACATTTATAATGTTTTGTTTGTAATATTAAAATATTTGTGTTCATTATTTGACTTGAATAATCCACTGTAATAATTTGTGTATGTAGCAGAGGCTATTTCCCCAAAATAAAATAACCAGAAGAGCCTATTCTTAATGTTGTCTTCTTGGTTATTATTTTGGGGGGCCACGCAGACCCGTCAGATTTTTAAGGGGGCCTCGGTGTTACTGAGTTTGGGAATGGCTGTTCTAGAGTTTGTATGTTCTCCCTGTGTATGTGTATAGAAGGGTCAAGGGAACTTTCCTGGTTTAAAGGTCAATAATTCTGCCGACAGCGAGACTAAAGACTTGTTCTATTGACATAATGTCATAATAAAGTCGTCAAATCAAGAAACATTAACCGCATTTTTTTGCGTGTCATGTCTTGTTTTTATTCCGCAAAAATTACAGTTTTTGAGATTTGCATTTTTGATTAAATCTTACAGCCCTACCTCAAAGTTCTCAATTGGACTTTTCGTGGTAAAAAGTAATGGCAACAACAGTAAATGCTAAATAAATGGTTTTGATCAGTTTTATCCTAGCCTGGTCGTACCACACCATAGTACAAATTACATTTCGTACTAAGGTCTGGATTTGCTCCATTGAGCTCCGTTTACAGGTGGGAGGGGTTAACTCCTTTTGCAGATTGAAACAATTGGATCTGAGTTTACTGTGACATAATATGTAAAGTGCCTGAATGTGTTGTTTGCATTTATCATTTAGCCTAGCCATCTCCTTTGCTGCTAACGGAGCCCGTGGGGAGTAGCGCCACAATCTTTACCAACAATTACATTTGCAAAACATTCCTCTTGCTCCGGCTTCAATTTCTTGATAGAACCAAATACTTTACTATTGCATTCTTTGCCATTGCCAAACTATTACCGGCCAATTCGGCGCAAAGTCTTGACATCACGCACATCTAACTACAACACCCTATTCAACCCAGACGTTACATGCATTTTACTTTCGTCTTAATTGGGTCATATCATACAACACCCATGTTACACATCTTTTTTGTTTTGGTCTCTTTTTAACTAAAAGCAGTTCCTCACAAAGCGTGATCAGTTTAACTAGTTGTGTTTTAACAATTTAGTTAGACAATGCTCATCAGTTTCATACGACCATTGATCCAGTTTCTCTGGTGCTGCATGCCGTGGTGCTCATGAGGAGTTGAAACCGATTCTAACACACTGACTTTCATTGATCAGATAATCTGCTTGTCAATCACAGCAACAGCAGAACTCCACGATCTTTACGAAGCAAAAGACAGGAACAGGCTATTGCAGTGGCCAAATCTACTTCTCTCTTTTCCACGCTCCAATGTCGCTCTCTTGTTATCTCTTTCTGTTATTTTATATGTGAGTCTCATGTATGTTTAGTTTTGTCTGATTCCTAGCACTGATATCAAAGATTGTAAAATGCATTCTCACACAAATCTGCCATGTACCTTGTTCTGTTGTTTCTATCGTGTGATTATTCTACGCAAGGTCTCTTCTTGGTTTTCTGATTTGATAGACTAGTTTGGAAAGTAAGTGAGTAATATGTATTCATATATAGACAAAGGTCACACACCTGGCTCACTGAAGCCTCTGAGCATCACCAACCATTACCTTCAGGACTATTGTACGTGTTTAAGTGGTAGGAGGACCCGGAGCACCCACAGACTTTAAAACAACAGTTTCTGGAGGTGAAGCCCTGAGCACAAGCACTGACCACTACACTACCGTGCCATAAATGAATACTTTATTGTCCTGTGGGAAAATGTGTCCTCTGCATTCGACCCATCATTCAACGCCACTGTGGAAAGCTGGGTCAATCGTCTCCACAGTTTAGCACCTGGTGACCCATCTCCAGATGTTGATGCTCTTGGTCAGGACTGGAGCTGGAGGATTTTACATATGGCGCGCAAGGGTTTGAGTGCGCAGGTTACAAGTGTGCACAAAAGGCGGAATTGGGACAGTGCACACTGAGTGCAGGTTACGTCATCGACTCGTCAAGAGATGGTCATTTTCAGACCTAAACTTTATACAAATTAAAGGTAATTTTGTCTGATCCTTTGGGAAACTAAATGAATTGCTTCACACACGTTAAAATACATGTAAATTAGTGGTTTCTAATTAGAGATAGCTGTATAATTTTAAGTTAAATGTGGGTAACTAACTGTTATCTGGTCAGTTTTTATACATTCTAAGATTATTGTACTAAGTGTAAAGTTTAAATTGAATGTTATATAAACGCTTGGTTTAAAAAGTTATTAAATTGTTAAAACACAATGTCCGTAATTCTTCATCAGACGTTTATGCTTCTTTCCAAGTAACATTGCAAAACTTATTTACACACATACTGCATATATATTTCAAAATGTATATTTAAATGCATTTTCCCGACGTTTTGGTGTGTACCGCAAAGAATTATGGGCAATATCCTTCGCCAGAGTGCGCATAGATGCAGGCTACGGCGAAGTGTGGATCAGGGGTGCAAAGGGGGCGGGGCCAAAGACCTCCCTGGAGAATTGGGACACCCTACGCACTCGCACCCTTTATCGGGAACGCGCAAATGAGGGGCGCGAGGGTGGAAGTGCGAGTATTGGGACGGGGCCGAAGGGCTGCGAATGAGTGACTTCCAGACTGTGAACCCTGAGAATTAATATACTGTATATATTTTGTAATAACATTTTTAACACAGTATGTTTCATTCTGACTGAAGCACATGATAATGTTATAAAACAGTATGTTTCATTCTGACTGAAGCACATGATAATGTTATAAAACAGTATGTTTCATTCTGACTGAAGCTCATGATAATGTTATGTGATGTGAGAAATGCACTAAAGCCACTGGAGAAAAACTGTAACTATTCAGATCCTCCCCCTCCCCCTAAGATGGCAAAGTGAAGCTCAGCCTGTGATAACGGCCCTATTTACATAACAAAGTTGGCCGTTCACAGGTGATTTCGTTTGTTAGCTAAAATCCTTGGGGTCATTTGACACCGTGGAGGGGATGATAGGTATAAGTGCCAAATGACACCTCCATGCGAGTGCTAGTGTTAAAGCTGCTTTCAATATCTTTTCAAATCTGTTTTCCTTTTCTCCATAGCATGTCTGTAACAAAAGTTCTCATAATCTGAAGTCGGCGTATTTACATGGTTTTATGAAACAGAATTCTGAGAAAAACAGGTTTAAAGATCGACATTCCAAACATAATCATCACAGTCACATAACATGTAAATTTTGAATTACTCTGTTATGGCACACTTGTTTTAGTCACTATGTTGTAGAAGATTAAAAAGATGTTACTTTGGCACCAATTAAACACACAACACTCATGAATTAGTCGAAAATCAAGAATGTATTGATTCTTTCAATATTCAATGGATTGAATTTTGACCTCTTCTTTTTCTTTCTCTTTATAATTTACTGAAAATTAGATATGTATTAGACATTGCCAGTATTATTCTATCAAATCACGCAGTCTAAATATCCACAACCACCAAGCATTTTTAATGCAAGGAGAAACTTAGGTAACTTTAAACACAAATAAAACAAATGGACCTGTCCGACTCGAGTGTCTATGCTTCGTGTGTCTCTGGTTCTGTCCAGGTGTCTATGATCCGCGTGTCTCGCGTGTCTCCGCCTGTCTGGGTTCTGTCTGCGTATATGTAAATGTAAATGTAAATGTCTGTCTGTGGTTCTGTTTGCGTGTCTATGGTCCGCGCTCGTGAG